ATTTGGCTGCAAAATATAGATGAAAAGAGAATTTTATCCAAAATCTATTCCAAGTTCAAAACCACATATAGAAAGATTTCAACTTGGGATTATATGGACCATTTTGTTTGGATCCATATATTTTCATGATGAGCTGATAATTGGGTCAAATCCAGAGTGGTGTACAGTTGACAATGCTTTAAATATTCCAATTATAGAAGTTAAATCACCTTGAAACATCCAGCAGGTCCAAGCCACTCAAAGCTCTTTCTCTCTTCCTCCTCTCTTTCTGTCACCCTCTGCTCCCAGCAATCCACCACCCCCCAACCTCAACCACCTCTCAAATCAAGATTTGTACAGAAAAATGTGGGTTTTACTCTGGAGCCACTTTTCACTTCAAAGCATCTCTCTTCCCCCTTGATAGATGCTTGGATTACCTTGGAAATAAAGGAGATGGTTCCAAAACCAGTTGCAGAATTTCAAAATTGTGGTTAAAATTATTCAAATGAAGGTTGGTCCAATTGGTAATATATATGTGCTATATTTTGGCAGGTTGGAATATTCCCCTCAAGAGATGAATGGAAAACGATTTTGGAGAATTGTTCGGTTGGCCCCTTGAGTAGCATATTCAGCCTTTTCACTGTGAAGTCCACCACTGTGGTATTGGGTCATTGATTTCTATCTCTGTTTCTGGATAAGCATCAATTGCCTGCCAGTTGCACAAACCTTCTTCTAACTTATATAAGGATGTAAACTGTAGGTGGCATTCTGAGGTATGACATTTTAAACAATAAAAATGTTAACAGCATCAACTCATGAATAAAGAAATGTAGATCTGAAATTTTATTGGCATGGAAGACTTGAGTGCATGGCATGGACAGGATCTCTTACTTGGAGTCATGACTGGGGAGCCTACATATTCCAGAGGATGTCAAACGCAAGGGTAGCAAATTTGCCTTAAATTTTATTAATGTTCTTACCCTGTTGCTTTACCCATTCATTATATGTAGACTTAAATGAGAAGAAAGTATTTGGTATATTACTTGGATTCGAGCTCGATTAATCTTTTTGAAGGTTTTTTTTTTTTTATTGTATTTGGAGGAATGGGTTTTTATATCCACTTTGTGACGTAAAAGATTTTATTTTTCTGGCTTGGAATTGGAACGATTGAATAAATGAAGAAGCAGCTAATACTTCTATCTTTGATTCATGATCATAGGAAGGAGAGTGCTGCCATTGATGTTAATGAGCTTTAGATTCTTATAGTGAATAAAAACAGAAGATCACCCCCGTTACTTTTATGTTGTTGACTTATTTTTATACAAAAAAATACAAATTGTTAGGTATATTTAGTATCGCATTTGTCGTTCATGCATTTGCTTGCTAATTGTTATGGAAATGAAATTGTATTAACCAACCTTTATGTATTTATTTATTTTTTGCATTGACATTAATTTCTTTGATGAAATTTTCCTTTAACATAGCAGGTATATGTTAGGGTTAAAGCAGTAATCCTATTCTAAAAAATAATAATAATAAACAAATGTAAAGAAAAAAAAAAGAATATACAAAATTTATTCACTCTCAATGCAAGAGATATTGCAAATCTTTATTATAATTAAAGGATGATTACAAATGATTGATCATGTTTCATATATATATATATATATATAATGAAAATTTTAAAATATCCTTATTGATAATTTTTTATATAAAAAAATATATAGTAAAGTTAATTACGTAAAGTATTACAAAAAAGAAAAAGTGTAGGCTCATTTTCATAGTAATAGGCTCCTCTAGGATTTTTCTATCCATAAAAGACAGAATAAGAGCTTGAATCCATGCTATTGTCAACATAAATACTACCTGCAGAGACAAAGAGCGAAAATTTAGTTTCAATTTTTAGTTTAGCACCTGCTAAACCATTGACATTCGACATCAACCTTATCTCAAATATTTCTTCATTCTTTCATTTATTTCTTTATTTTTAAAAAATATTTGAATTCAATCTTTTAAACAGAAGAAACAAAAGCATGTTATAATCTCATACATAATGTTTTGGTTAAGAATTTTGAAAAATAAGGGTTTTGATAAAGACAGATAGAGGAAAGCATGCCCATTTGCCATTATATATGATAACACAAGTCAACAATTAGGTTCATGTCATAAAGTTGCTTTATTTTTTACGTGATTGCGTTGCCCTGCACTTCCCAATATAGCACTTTGTAAGCTGTGACTAAGGAGATAACCTTTGAATTTCATACCATTCTCTGTAGCAGCACATGTTTTGTTTTAGGTGTCACATTTCAAGTTAAAGCAAAACCAGGTACAATCAATCTCATATTATCTCTATGTATTCAGGCACTCATTCCACTTTACTACTTAAAAGTAAATAGTACTAGTATAATTGGAGGATTTTCTTTTCCTTGTCAATTTGCTTCAGTTCTTGCCAAAAAAAATTTTAAAAATAAAATTTTAAATACATCAAATTGATATAAAAACATATACTTTTAAAATTATTTATAATTTTTTTTTTAGATTATAAATATAAATTACAATTATAAATCATGTATAAAAAATATCTAATAATCAAACAAATAAATCAGAACATAATTGAAAGCAAATCACTAAACCAACCAATATCTGTCCCCTGCACTTTGTAGCTCGTTTTTTGCCAATGTGCATGACGCCATATTCCCTGACTTCGGAATGTGAGATGCTTGTGCAGTCTGAAAAGCATCATCCTACTCCGAGCGGGCTTCTTCAGTAATTGTCCCAGTAAGTGAGAAGTGTTGATCAACCGACTTTATCTTTTTTTAGAATGCTCAGGCTTTCTCCTTTCAGTATGTTTCTCGTAAAGCCCATACCTTGTGCATAGGCCGAAGCACGTACTGCCGCCTCTGCTTCCGCCGTAAAAGAGTCGAGAACATCATGCATTCGTATTGAAGCAACCCCTTAAACTGCACCATCAGAGTCCCTTACGATCACACCTGCCCCCATCGCTCCTGTTTTTTATATCAAGCGTATTCTTAAATACATTCTAGTTTTTTTTTTTTAATAATTTTTTATAAATAAAATTACTCAATTATTTTTTCTTTCACACAAATTTCTGAATATGAATTTATAAAAAAATTATAAATCTTTTCGAAAATAAATTTTTATAAAATTATAAATTTTTTCTAAAATAAATTCTGAAAAGTTAAATTTTCAGAAAAATTTATAACTTTTTGAAAAAGTTCTGATATTTTGAAAAATTATTTCTAATAAATTATATGATTTTTTAAAAATATAATAAAATTTCCAAAAATTATGAGAAAAGTAATTAAATAATTTTATTTATAAAATTTTTTTTAAAAAAATTAAAGTGTGAAAAAAAAAAAAAACATTTAGCAACACTCTATATTAAAAACACCGTCAAAATTTACGTTAATTATTCCAGAGCTGGGCTTTTCCCACGTCTATAAAAAAAAAATGGAAATAAATAAATCTAAAAAAAACTTCAAAATACATATTCTGATATATTATAAAAAAATGGTACAACACGAGTGAGCATAACTTCAACTTGACCTCGTGCTCAGTTCAGCCATGAATGCGCTCAACTCGTTAATTTTTCCTTTTTTCTTTCCCTCACCTTCACTGATTAATTTTTTCTTTCTTTTTGGGTTTCTGGCCACTGGCCAACTGCTTTGATTTCGTTGTTTGTTACTTTGGCGATTAGAGTCTGTTCATTCTATGGCTATCCACCAAGTAAAATGACGATAAATTTAATTTAAAAAATAACGTTCAATGAATATAAAGTTGTCAACATTTAATATCACTTCAGCATATATATTACAATAGTTTAATGCATAACATATCACACATATAGTTTTTCTCTGTCAAATGACGGATTAGATATGTGAGATATAGGTCCATCAAAAAGGGGCATTTCAAGTCTATCAAATGGCTAAGAGTTTGGCAAAATCCTGGACCTAATGTAAGGTTATTATCAAAGGTTTTTTTTTTTTTTTTTCTTTTTTCTTTCCTTGGAGACAAAGATGGTTGCTTAGAAAGAAAAGCCAAAACTCAAACTGTAAAGGCATATGATCAAAGGGAAAACTAAAGCAGAGGCTACCATGCCATTGCTATCCCTTTGGCAATGGTCATCCAGGTTACCATTCACTCCTTGAGCACATGCAATTCTTATATTTTTTATTTGGCTCTGCTGAGCCGCTATGCCGCGGGGGGGGACCCGAAGCACAGGCATGAGTCATTAGAGAGAGAGAGAAAAGCACCCATTTTCCATTAGGCACTGAAGCAGTGGGTAGAAGAAAACATTTGGATTTGGTCCACTTGCTTCTTACTCCTACAAATGGATAGACAAGAAAGAAAGCCAAAGCTTTGCTTCCCATCACTTCTTCAATTGCAGAGTCAGATCCCACTTTGACTATAAGTTTGCTTTTACCGTCCTACCATGGAGAATACCAACAAATAAGGACAGAAAGGTTTTCCATCCTAATTATAAAAGAGAGTGAGAAGACCATTTCTGTGGACTTGGCTGCTTTATAATCCACACAGCCAGAGTCTCCAGAAGCTAATTCAACCAAATCATAAGCTCAAGCATCAAGCGCCTGCAACTCCATTAAAATTTCATTAACTCAAAGGTACAACAACACCAAACTCCACAGGACAAGAGAAATTATCAGTACCATCCAACATTCATCCCTCCTTAAGAATTGGGATTTCACGTGGATGGAGGTTGTAATCCCACAAGGTGGAGAGGGTCCAGCTACAGCACTTTCTACACATAACTACCGTGTCTTCCTGTCGAGTGATCATTCCACATTCTAGAGGGAGAAAGGGGGGAAATTTTTTTAAAAAAAGAAAAATAAAAAGGAAAACAGTCAGGCTGCTTTATTACCCTTCTCACATTGCTAACAATAATAAATTGAACAGTCAGGTGCTACCACAACATATCTTAAAATAATAAACATGGTGCAAAAAAGAGAGATCTGCAATTCTGGGATTTTAGCTCTCACAAACCTACAGCGTAAACTACAATTTTAATCCAAATGAGCAGACTATCTTTCAGAGATGGATAAATGCTTCTGCCTTATGCTTCTTTGATGCAAGCATGGAAAAATAGATCCACCCATCTTGATCTCCTTTAAAACTCTTGTTCTTCACCTAGCATCTCATCCCTTCATCAAAAGGATAAGGCAATTTGGCCAGAAAAACACATATCATTGCCCCTCCTCCCTTCTCTTCTGGCTAACTTTGATTATGATAATAAAATGAATGTGCAAACATAAAGAAACATAAAATTTAAATGCATTCGACTAGAACATCCAATGTCTGATAACTTACAAAGACATCCTTTTTCTGCACTAGCCCCCCTTATCCAAAGTCCTTCAAAAATACAAAGCAAAGATGAACTGTTGTCCCTCACTGGGGGTCTACTTTTGATGCTAATATAACAGCCCAAGCTTGGAGCAGAAGTTATTTACTCAACTTTGCTTGACTGGGACTGCTGGGAATGGGGGTAATTTAAAAGATGCCCTCCATGTCAAAATTCGCCGGGAAACAGTTTAAACCTGCTTGGTATCCACCATTAGAACAATTGAAACAGTTTCCTGCACCACATATACCTACAAGATGGTGACATATTTCGGTGCATCAATTCTTGGCCCTTCAAGAGACCGATACATGTATAACGTTTCAACAAAGTCATCCATCTCCATATCAGCAGACCTAATCACTTCAACCACTAGGCGAGGCATAGCATGAGCAATCTCCTGGCAACCTTGTCGAGTTAATCTGCATGAGGACATCCAAAGGAACCTCATGTAGTAGCAATGATGCAAACCAGAACGCAGAGCTGCATCTCCAAATGGGCTATCTCTAATCTCAAGCTTCTGCAATTGTGAACAGCCTTCGAGAACATATTTCAGCCCCATGTCACTATCTCCAGCAAAAGCTACTGACAATGTGCGTACCAATTTCCCATATTTTCCAATATATTCGAAAGCTTTATCTGTCAGCAAACCAGATACGGCAAGGCGAGTGAGCTTCTTACAATTCATAACAATTGCTCCAAAACCATCATCCATGGGTTCTCCAGTCACAGGATCAGGCTTGTGGCGCCCCATTATGCATAGCCGAAAAACAACAAGATCTGGACAGTTCTTCGACATTGCTATGACAGCTTCATTAGTCATCCGCTGGCAGAAATACAGAATGGATTGCAATTTCTGACAACCCTCAGAAATAGCTTGGAGGCCCACTTCAGAAACGGGGCTATCAATATCCTCCTGTGCATTGATAGGGAAAACCCGAAGCTCACGTAATTCCTTGCATGTTGCAGCCACTGCTTGAAGCCCTTCATCACATATCGAATCAAGGACCTGCATAATAAAAGCTGAGGTAAGCTTCAAACCCTAATTTCTTCACAAAGCTTATAGATCAAAATATCAAACACATACCCAGAAAACCCGGAGCTTGTGGCACTTGCTTATAATTGGCTTAAGCTGTTCTGCATTGATGTTGGCATAGCTGAAATTCAGAGACGTTAGATTTGCACAAACAGGGTAAATTGCAGGCAGATAATCAGGAATTATTTCCCTAAACCCAGAGAGACAAACTAAGGATCTGCAGGCAGCAAACGCAGTTCCATAATCTAGTTCTTGATCACCTTGCCCAGCAATTTCCAATGGGCTAAACAAACCTGTCCCAAGGTGTGTGAGCTGTGGAGCTTGAATCATCAAGCGATACAGCTGCCCAATTGAAACATATCGATTTAGCCTAAGCTTCTTAAGTAAAGGAGACCTAGCCACTAGCCTTTCCAATGCCTCAAAATTTATCGGCCATTCTACACAATCAAATATCAATGACTCAAGATGTGATTCACCCTGAGGAAAACAAGATATCCAATCTGTCCCATCATGTATAACCTCAGATTCGATCAGATCAAGCACCCTAAGCTGTCTGCAATCATAGAAATGCATCAATAAACTATCCATACAATTCCATCCACAAACTTCTATTTTCCCTTTTACCCATTGATTATCAGAACACATTACTTAAACTCAAAACATTTCCATATCCCAATCCATACCCAGATCAAGTAAAACCATACCAGATCTAAAAACATTAAATCTACAAACACAACCATCAGATCAAACAAAAATCTCAGTAAAGCTGCAAAATTTTCTTAATCCCATACCAATTAAACCAATAACCATTACTATTAACAGCTTTTACAGTTCTAATCAGCCAGTTATTTATAAATATATATCATTATTATCAGCAACAATAATTTTTTTTAAAATAAAGAACAATACCTGCACTTGCTAACAAAACTTGCAAGGCCATTAGTTCCAAACCCATCACAGCAAACGAGAACGAGCTCCTTAAACCCTGAAAACGACTCAGCCAGGGTTGCCAGATCATCATTCGTCACCGACATGCGCTTCAGGTAAACTTTTTCGAGCCAAGGGTAAGGCTTGGCCATTGCCAGCAACCAAGGATTGAAGTGGGCCCCCCAATCGGGCGGCATCAGGTTAAAATCCGCGAACCTGGGCTTCCCTTTCAAGTGAAGAGCCCTTACCCTGGTGAACCTGGCAGTGGCCCGACCTGGCGAAACAGCATAGCAGTTCCCTATGAACAGCTCGGATCGCGTCAGTGCCTCGACCCGGTACCACGACTTGCACACCAATGAAACGGAGTTCCGATCCCGTCTCGACGTGAGGAAGTGGAGCACGTTTTCCAACACGTTCTCCAGAACCTGGTCCGGATGATCCGACGCAGACCCCGTAGCCTTGCAGTACCGTGCCTTGTTGGAAGTGAACTCAAGATCTGACCGCGGAGATTGCTGCCTCTCGTCGTCCTCAGACATGTCCTCCGCCCCGTTACGTCGCATGAGAGACAACAAAAGGAAGAGAAAGAAGGGGAGTCGGTAGTACAGGCGCGGCCTTGTGATCTAAAAGCAATCTCCCCTTTCTTCTTTTCTTTGGGGTGGGTTTTCTTGATTGATGAAATTGATATTTGAGTTTCTTAGATCATGGGAACATGGAAAGTAATTTAGTTTAATTGATCAGAGAAGAAGGGGATAGTGAACAATGTACAGCGCTGTCTGTGTCTGAGCATTGGGATTCTCCATACCTCTTTAGTCTTCTCCCTTCTGTTTCTCTCTCTTTCATCTGCAATATCCAATGGCTCTCCACACTTCTCCTCCATTATTGGGAGGTTTTCTTTTTTACAATTTGTTGTCCTTTTATTATTATTTTTAAATAAAATTTTTGTTGGTTTTAGACGGTAGTAGGGAAGTACTATAGTTTGTCCTTTGTCAACTGGTTTGAAATTTTGTTTTGGTTTTGTTGGAGACAACCCTCGGTCTTTTATTTATTTGCAGATAGCTCCTCCTTTTTTTTTTTTTTGAGTTTGATCAATTTTATTTTAATATTTTGATTATGACAAGATAAAATTATTGGATTGATTTTTATATTTTCAAGCATTTTATATGCATTTTTTGTATAATAATACTAACAAGATTTTCATTTTTTAAGAAGCTTGAAATCATTATACATTTTTAATGACTAGTTCTTTTTTTACCAAATGATTTCAAGTATGAATTTAAAATGTAACCGATGCATTCTTAAAGAAATCAAACGTTCAGAAGAAAGGAGGAAGATAATGCTTCATTCATATGTTTTCAATAAAAAAATCACAACAACGATAATTCTTTGAATCAATTGTTTATTTATCTTTTTACACAATTAAGGTAATTTTATCTTATTCATGATGAGTAGATATAATAATTTCAAACATGACATAATGATATAATACGAAAAAAATTATATATATTTTAAAAAATGAGTTTCATGCTTATTATCTCGATATGAATTTTAACATAACACAATTTATATCTTATACTTGTTGACACATCTAAACATATGATATAATAAGATAACACATTAATTTAATCATACTATACAAGTACATATTTAACATGTTTAACGTATTTTTATATTTATTTTAATTTAATATAAACTTATAAAGATTATTTTAATTTTTTATATTTTAATTATGATACTTAATTAGCTATTTAATATCATACAAAAATTATTTTAAATATTTAATTATGATACTCATTTAATAATTATTATAAATTTATTTTTTATATTAATAATATAAATACAATATAAATATTAATATTAGTCATATACATTATTATTTATTTTTTAATTTTTAATAGTTTATCATTTTGAATTTGATACTAAAAATTAATATAGTTATGAATATATATCAAAATTTATATATATATTAAATACATATTAAATGGGTATTAATTTTTTAATTTTTTTAATACATAAGTACTTTTTTATATTATTAATATGTTAAGCTTATTAAGTTATAAATGATAGATAGTTTATAATTATTTATTATTTTAATCATTTTCTTATATACATTCTTGTTAGTTATGTTTGTTCGTATATATCTATGTTAATTGTATCTATTTATATATATTTGTGTATTTATTTTTATTCATATCATATTTAAACAGATTAATTATATATATATTAATCGTATCACGTCATATATAATACGTATAAAAAATATATCGTATTCATGTTTAAAATTTAAATATATTTTATAATTCATGTCATGTTTATATTTTAATAATTCATATAATTATACGTATCAAATATGAACCGAGATATTGTACGGAAATACGAATTGTCATGAGAAAATATCTTATTATTTTTTTAATAATATCATTCAGGTTGGCCAGCAAGTAAAATTATCAGAGATATGGAATTTTGCACGGCCAAACTTCTAGTAATTGCAAATTGATAACTCCATGAAGAGACAGAGCCGCTGTGTGTGTCTCTCTCCCTGTCAAATTTTTCGGCACTCAATTGCTGACAGTTTGCTCACTAACAATTCAACTGCTCAATTTCAGCTTGAGTATGATCTTCTAAGCTGTGGCCTCAATTTGATTTATGCCAACCCAAAAAAGATTGACTAGCAACAATTAGGTTAAACGAAAGTTCTGGTTTTGAGTAAAAGCTGCACTATTGGAAAAAATATCTTTTCATAAAGTTGCCTTGAACAATTCATGTGCCATATATTTTTCATAATGGTTAGGATGAAATGCTTATTTATAGCAGAATATTTTTAGGGGATTTTTAAGTTAGAGCCTGATTTATTGGATGAGGAAGTCATTACCTCTGTTTTTATTTTTTTGTTTCCTTTGACAAGACATTGCCTTCAGAGTTAAGATGCACAAAGAAAATCATTTTCTTTTTTTGCCATTTTATGCATTAAGAAAACAATGATAAACAACATTCAAACGTTTAGTTCACTATTATTGGCTAAAAAAACATTTAGTTTACTAATTGGCACATGATAGTAAGATTTTAATTTGTATCTTATTGCACAATGACATTGGCCACCTTTATTAAAATACGAATTACGCAAAATTAATATTCGATTTTTAACATTTATAATTTCTTGTATTTAATCCCTCAAGCTTTAACTTAGATCTTATAATTTATATTATATAAAATATTAAAATTCATGTATTTATATTATATTTTATATAAAAATTATATATCACGATTCGTATCGATATGAAAAAGTAAATTTTATTTTTTTAATTTTATTAAATTTATATATAATTATTATAAAATTTTTAAATTAAATTATTTTTATGTCGTGTCATATTTTAAATTATTAGATTTTAACTTTTTTTTTATTTCAAATTACAACTGCTATGAAAGGTTGTCAAAAGTCCAATCCATTAACATATGGATCTAATCCTAGTGTAGTTCATTGGTTGGGCTCAGGTTAGGGGCCGAGGGTAAAAGTGAAAATTCAGATCCAACCCACCCAACGATTATGTCGGTCGTAGCCCGGATATTATTTGTCGGCATGTCGTGTGCCAAACTGGCAACTGCCAACTGGTCGCTACAAATTCAACGTTTAGACAATAAAAATGAAAACTAACGGCAGCAATTCAAACCATCAAAAAAAGAAAAAATTCTAGAAAATTCCTTCACGATTTTGACCCCTCCCAAGATATTAGCTTTTCCTACTCCATCAAAACATTTTCCATTTCTCTTCCCCTTTGTCTGATCCAAACATACATAAATCATGAGCCAGCCCCTGCACGATCCCAACAAAATCCCCGAAACCAAACAGTCAACAACATCCTCTGAGTCAACTCCACCGGCAACCCAATCTTCTGATTATGCTCCGTACCCGAAATTAGACCCCAAGGACGTCAATCCTCCATCTGAGAATTGGAGCAACGTTTCCATGGGTTCTCAATCGCAGCCCAATCCGGGCCCAGCACCGATGTCTAGCAGCGCTGCTACCACCATGCCGGCTGAGTCCAATCCTTACGTTTCTCCCGCTCCAGTTCAATCATCTTCCGTCAAGAGTAACCCACTCCCAACAACTCCGCTTGCTTCAATTTATACTAAATTCGGTTTTTGAATATCTTTTGAATTCTATTTAAATTTAAGCCCTTTTTCTGAGCAGATACGATGGAATCAGTGAAAGATGTGTTGGGGAAATGGGGAAAGAAAGCGGCGGAGGATACTAAGAAGGCAAAAGAGATAGCTGGGAACATGTGGCAACACTGTAATTATTTCTCTCGTTTTATAATTACTCTTTTATACCCTGCTACTTTTTGCCAACTTTATTCATCTGTACTAGATAAAGACTATGACTTATGAATTTTAGTACTTATTTTAGGGTTTTCTCAGTACATAATGTCAATTAGATGGATTATATGATATGAAGTTTGATAAGTAAGTTTGTTATTTTTGTTGCAACAGTGAAAACTGGGCCGAGTTTTGCTGATGCTGCTGTAGGAAGAATTGCACAGGGTACGAAAGTACTTGCAGAAGGTGGTTATGAGAAGATCTTTCGAGCAACATTTGAGACTGTTCCTGAGGAACAGCTTCTGAAGACATATGCGTGCTACTTGTCCACCTCGGCTGGTCCTGTTATGGGAGTTTTATATTTGTCAACCCAAAAGCTTGCTTTTTGTAGTGACAATCCACTGTCTTACCAAGTTGGTGATCAGACACAATGGAGCCTTTATAAGGTATACCGGCTTGTATTATGCGTTGCTTTGTTTCAAATTGTTGCATCTGCAGCTAAGGGTTAGGGTCAAGTTGAGTGTAGACTGATGCTTAATAATTAACAATGAAGTTAGTGCTGCTTTTTTATGCTAATAATAGAAAATTTTTAGACTTTCCATTCTTTAGCAGTTTCATACATTGTTAAAAGACATGAATCATGAATTTATCGTCCCTTTCTTGTTACATTTTTTGAAAATATTGTATGCTCAATACATGATGGTTCTATTATCTATGTGGATTAGTGGAGCACTTAAAGTTGACAATCCTGGATGCTTTATTACATAAAAGTTGTACTTTAAATAACCTAGATTATTTTTGCACCAGCGGTTATGACTTTACTTATCCCTGTTATTTGCTAAAGGTCCCTTTGTTTCATGAGGTCTTCACCAACTTGTTAGATTTGTTCTCTGGCATGCTTCAGTGTCTTTAGTGCTTGTTTCTAGTTAATACTTTTGTAGTTGATGCTATGTTTACTTGAACGTATTACAAAGGAGAAGTTGGTAATGAAAATTATTGGCGGTAGGAACCTTAATTGGCTATGTAAAGGTAGAATATTGTGTATGAGATGGATCAGGACATCTGTAAATAGATCATCACATTCTCACCTCTGCTAAATTTAATTGCTCGAATGACTCTAAAGAATCCAGTCAAAGCCATCCTATAATAGTTGACCTAAGACTATTCAAATGAGATGTAAAATCAAGTGATTTTTCCTAATTAGTTCTTGTGCCCCATGTTAGTAGGAATATATGATAATGGTTCTGCTTGATTGCATCCTTGTCAACATGCACCAATGAAAAATCTAGGATATAGTGTTTTTCCCTTGTTGGATTTATCTGGATCTATGTGTTTGTGTGTCTAGTCAGGTGGCTATTTTCTTATTATGCAGATCTGTGGTTGTTTGTTCTTATAAGTATACTTGTCTATCCATCATTATTTATCTTTATTTAAATTGGTTCTAATGGTTATTAATGTGATTTGGTGTAATCTCTCCACTCATACTTGTAGGTGGTTATTCCGTTACATCAGCTCAGAGCAGTGAACCCATCAGCTAGCAAAGCCAACCCAGCTGAGAAATACATCCAGATTATATCAGTTGACAACCATGAATTTTGGTTCATGGGCTTTGTACACTATGACAGTGCTGTTAAAAATCTTCAACAAGCATTGCAGCCGCATAGCTCATGATATAGCTCATGATATGATCTTATCAAACTCTCTACCATGTTCCAAAAAGGTACTTTGAATCACTAAATTGATGTAAATAAAATATCTTGAGCCAGATTTGTAACAGTTGAAATATCATAGACATGTTTTGTATTGCATTTGTTTGGAGTCACTGTGATATTCCTTTGTTTCTTGAACTCATGAATTGTTGTTGGACATGTTTGAGTTGTCAATATGGAATCAGATTGTTAAATGGTTTGCACTAGAAGTGTTCATTTATACTTTTTTTCTTTTTTTAAGTGAAAAGGGTTGATTCTGGCAAAGGTTATTGTGAATTTGAGAAACAACGAAACTATTTATTCTTCTTTACTTGAGTATACTTTGCAATTTTCCTTCTTTCTCTTCGCTTTTGTTTCTTATCGGGTCTTTTTCCATTAAGCCCGATTTTAGTTTGTCTTTGTCAGTCACTATGCAGCAACGTAGCATTTTTATGGTTGCCTTTGCTCGTAAACCCAGGATGCCTAATCTATATGAATTTTCGAATTCCTCTACAACTTGTAACGGAAAACGATAACTTTAGCCTTCTTTTGACAAAAAAATCGCATCTTAACATATATTTTTTATGACAGAAATGGCATTTAAAAATAAAAAAAAAATTTACAAATGTTAGACTTGAGCCCAAAACCTCCGGCCTCGTTGGTTTGTTGGTCTGGCTACTTTGTTTTGGGTTCCTTTCATTATGTAATTTGGTGGAATAAAGTTTGGGTTTTTATGTTCGTCTCCTGTTCGAGGTTTCGGTTTCGATCCATCATCCACCACTCAAATCTTCTTTCTCCGTCGTTTGAACAACTTGTCTTGTTACTGTTGGAAAGCAACGACACTGCAACATTGGGTATCTAAGAAACTTGCAAGACAAATAGACAAATACAAGAGTCATCAGCAAAGTCATCAGATTTAGAGCTTGGAGGCTACGATCTCCAACATTGATCTGAAACCAATTTCTCACACCTGCTATGATCGTGTACCATTTCCACACCAAGCAAGCCCCTGCTGCCAAAGTTACCAGCTTGGTTTGGGGGCCAAGAAAGGTTAAACCTCGCTGTTTGAACTGGTAATCCACACACCTATATTGAGTCGGAAATACATGACCCTCAGCTGAAATAGAACTTGCAAAAAAAAAAAAAAGGTGTAATGTATCCTGCAATGGTAATGAAAAAATCATTATTATCATAAACAAAAGATTATTATGATCATTATTGACTCCCATTTTTTGCAACAATACATTATCACCAAGGGTCCAGTTTCTTGATAAGCTCGGAGTAGGCGTTTTTGTTGGTCCCAAGGTGTTTTAACCAACAGATCCAGTAGTAGGTCCAAAACCTGGCTCAGGAGTGGAAGTTGTGGCCAAGCCAGTTTCTCTGTCTTCATCTTATCTAAGAGACGGAACATACGCCAAATTTATGAGATGACACTTGATTTGCATTCATATCATGGGCCATATTGCCATCAGGAGCCCAGGCCAAAACTAGGAAAAGTAGTTTGATACGTATCCGATGAGTTTGGCTATTTAGATTTTTTAAGAGTGGTTTTTTTTTTTTTTAAATCGAATAGCAAGTCAGATAAGATGAAAAAAAAAATTAAACTCTGATCGAGGTCAAATTTTATATAAATTCGATTCGATATATAAAAAATTTATTTTTTTAATTAATTAATTTTATATTTATATTAAAAAATAATATTTTATATTTAAAAATAATTTTTTATTAATTTTTAATCGAGTATAATTTTATATAATATCGAATTAAGTTCAGATATAAAAAAAAATAAAAAAATTGAGTTAAATTAAATCTGATTCAAGGTAAACAAAAATTTATCATAATCTGACTCGTTGTCATCAATAACCAGGATCATGATTTATAAGTTTTTATCTACTATTTCCAAAGGTATGTATGCAAAATTTAAATTTTAGTTTGTCGTTTTTTCTTTTTAATTTTGGCGATACGCAGAAAGAAAAATGGAAAAGGAAATTCAGGCCAAAGTGGTGAAAGTGAAATGTTGAAGTTTTGAACTCAATATAATTCATTGTTACACAAAAAAAGGGGGAAATTGGTAATTAAAAGTATCTGATAATTATTCTTTAAAGATTTGTTGGTTTTGTGGTTGATTTGTCTTCCTAACAATTGAATAATTCATTGAGAAAATGGAATGGAGAGGTTGAAGGGTTGGAGTTGATTAATAAGGGGATGAAGGTAGGCATGTTACCATGTCAGCACCAAAGAATAAAGATGAGATTGCGATATATATGGTCCTTACCTCCCCAAATATAGACATGTTTGTCTTTCTTTTGGCTTCCTTCTTCCTCCAAACATGATTCCCATAATGTTGTTTAATATACTAATTTTAATAATAAAATTGAAAACACCCCATAAAAATGATTGTTTCTTGAACAAAAAAAATCCAAAAAAAAAAAAAAATGAAAATAAAAACACCCTTTCTCTCTCTCTCTCTCTCTCTCTCTCTCTCTCTCTCTAAATCAAACCTTTCATATTGTCATTTTTTTCATGAATTTACTGCACCTTAAGCTTCAAACAAGTTAACCTAAGATTTTCCCCTTTGAGACTGAGACAAGAACAGCATAGATGTCATGTCAGTGCAACTAATATTGTTCCCGGTTTCTGTTTGAAGAGAGAGAGAGCCCACGTGTTCCTTACTAGGGATAATGACAACCCAAAAGCAGCCGAAAGACAACCGGAGAACCAAAGCTCTTTGAAACTCTTATTTCCGACAGCTGAAACTCTCCGCCATGCTATTGCTCTTTATCTGACTTTCCCCAACATCATACATGTTGAGTTTCCTCCACACGCACACACACACAAATACATACATATATATATATATATATATATATCAAACTCTTTTTATTCTAAAGACAATTTTTTTTTTATTTTAGACTTACATGTTTAATCATGGTTGTTAAGGAATTATAATGACTGATTTATTAACAAATTAATTGTAAAAGTGGGGAATTTGCATATTTTTAAAAGAATTAATGTAGGTAAATTACAAGGTGTTTTTAACATCCCATCCACGGGCCTGGGGTCAGAAGAAGTCTAAATTATGTCTGCAACACTGCAATAAAACTGGCAAAGTACTGTGTGCTTTCACTGCCATGATAATAACCACTCCAAAATTTAATTTGTTCTCTGTTAAACTTTTTTATTTCATTACCAGAAAAGACAAAGAAATATGAGACTCGAGAGAAAAAAAAAAAGGGAAAAGAAGTGTTCTTTTGTGTGATGCCTATCTCATATCTAAACCTCATTTGGCAACTTTTTTTCCCTGTGATTTTGAGGATTGTTCAGCTAGAAGAATTGTCTAGAGTACTTGCAAAATGGAATTTGAAAAAACTTAATGCAACTGAGAGAGAGTAAAGCATATATTAAAAGCTTAAGCGGTTATAGACGAAAGAAAGGAGAAGGTGACAGATGTAATTCAAGACAAAGAAAATATTGCAGCTTTGCATGCCGAACACGTTTTAATTCGACTTGGAATTACTCTCCAATCTCCATCCTTTGACGATGATCGTGATCACATGATGATAAATTAGAAAACCCTGAGTTCTTCAGCTTTTTTTTTTTTTTTTTTTTTGTTTCCTTATCTCCTCGGTCAAACAGTAAGCAATTGAATGTAGCAGCAGCTAGCTACTCCCAAACTGAGAGAGCAGTTTTGATCACAGAAAGGAAAAGGATGGATCATTGAAAATCATGAGAATTTCTAATGTGCTTAAAAAACTCATAAAATAAAAAGAAAACTCATTTAGTGAGCAATGGCTCATTAGCAACCAACAATGTACTCATCAGAAACTTCAGGTCATCATAATCCTAGACTGAGCACTGATAATAGTAACTGGACCTACATAAAAATCAAAATCAGATTGAAAGAAAAAAAAAAGGTGAGAACCCTAGTTCAATCCCCACTAAATTCACATCATGATTTTCTCCTTTCCCATTATCACATGCTTCTTTCATGTTTTCCTTCTTCTTCCCAAGTAACAACGTTGAAGCTTTTTTTCTTTTCTCTCGTTTTTATTGAAAATTATTAGGGTTTCTTACCAAGAGTGTGTTTGTTATTGTGCATCCAGACCTTAAGCACATGCCCTTTCGCTCCAGTTTTTTCAAAAAATTGCTCACAGCAGCTTCATCATGCTTCTGAGTCCCCCACCCGATCCTTCCAGCGAAACCCAGCATTTTATCTTTCTGTTCGGGTGTAAATTTTGTTCTAAACCTCTTCTTTAATCCTCCACTGCCACCACGTCCACCACCACTGCTACTAGGATTCGAAACATCTTCATCTTCTTTGGTGTAACCACCAGCATTACCGCCCCAACCCGCAGCAGCCTCTGATGCTGCTGGCAAGGCCAATGGCCTGTGCTGTGCAGGTGGCGTCAGGTAAAGATACCCAGCTGATGGCGGCTCCCTATAGTAGGGCGAGAATTGGGGGTGGTGCAGCAGGTGATGAGGGTTATAAATGCTACTTTCTCCGTCATTCCTTACGGTGAAAGTTTCTGTGGCAGTTACACGAGGCACATTTCAAGGCGTCAAGGGTCCCTTCATCACCGGCAGCAATGAACTCGCCGCAGCCATCCACCGCGTGGCCTCCAATACTTACGGCATGGTTCTTGAGACACTCACGGTACCTTTTCTTAGACCCCACTTTTCTTGGTGCTGCTGAGGCCGCATCTTCAGCGCCGCTGGCAGATCCCATTTTCGTCCGAGCTGCCGATGATTTGCCAAATGAACCGTGGCCTGGTGGAACAGCCATACCCAGTTCTTCCTCTTCGTCTTCATGTTCATCAACATCGATTTTTTAAAAAATGCCCTCTCTTTAATTTGTTTCTCTTTTTTTTTTTTTTTGTTTTCCTGACCTTGTTTCGTTGATAGGGAAGATCTACATGGTCGGGTTAATTCAGCAGATCCAGCATCAATAATTAAAAGAAGTGAGTTTAAATGAATAAAACGAATGGTTTTGATTGAGAGTAAAATTTCTTGTTTTAGCTGAGAAGCGAAGATAAGAGAAGGGAAGAGAGTGTGGCCATGAATTCCCTGGCCTGCAAGAAAAAGGGTGTCTTACTCGAAAGCCTTTCATGTGCTTTTTCTTTTTTTTTTGCATATTGTTTGGACAGTAAATTTCAAATTTCACCTCTTTTTCATTGTCTTTTTTCTTTTATATCACTCTCTTTCCTGCTCTTTTGTTGAAGTTTTTGGGGTTGTTTAACTGCACAAAACTGTTAAATTTAAAAAAAAAATGATTTAATAAAAATTCTAATAAAAATTCAAACTGAAAACTTATAGAATGTAAAAAAAATTATTAAAAAATTATTTATAATTTAAATTTAATTGATACTTATTTAATTACAAAAATTTTGCCAATATTTTTATTAAAAATATTTATTTAAAAATATATCAAATTTATTAAATTTTTTCAAAATTTACATTCTTGAGATTTTTTTAATGATAAAAATTTTGTTAACAATTTTACTAAAAATATTTATTTAAAAAATATATCAAAATATTTTTAAATTTTTTCAAATTTTACATACTTAATTTATGTAACAAGACATTTAATTTATTAATTTTTATTTAATTATTTTTAATAAAAAATTCATTAACTTTATATAAAAAATTTCATCTAAATTTTTCCATGCTTAGCTAGGCCCGAAACTCTTGTCTATCTTCCCTTTTCTATTTTTATCAAGAGATGTGGAGTGGCAAAAGTAAAAAAAAAAAAAATTGTCAGAGTAAATTACAAAAGTAATTGGAAGCAAAGAGATGTAGTCAGGATGTAATGTCATGGATCTAAGAAGAGTCTTGAATCTCACATCGAACATAATAGGAGGGTTACTAGGGTATATAAGGGTTTACATCACTTCCGTCTTGTGAGACGCCTTTTGTAGGATAAAATCGTGAGGTCAGAGGGTCAGAGCGAATAATACCTCACAAAAGTGTGAACCGTGACAAAAAGACTGATCTGGGACTCGGAAGGGTGAATGCTTATGTCCCAGAGCCGCTGTGAACCGTGATAAAAAGACTGATCTGTAACGTCGAAAGGGTAAATGCTCATATCCCAGAACCGTGCGAATTCGAAGCTTAAGTTTCGACCCATAACAGTAACCTATTGGATGTGTTAAAAATAAAAATTAACCCGAAGGGTCGAAAGGGAGAAATTGTGTTTGGAACATGGGACAAGATTTTCTTGGTTACATAAATTATGCTCCCCTTTTCCAAGCGAATGAATGAAAGTAAAGAAACTCTTTCTAAAACTCAACCAAAACTCCACAAAAAAAAGTTTTCTAAATTTATCATTTTATTATTATCTTTGATTTGTCTTGATCTTTCCAAACAACTCTTTCCATCCAATGCTAGCTCACTATTAGACATTGTTAAAGGTTTTTTTTTTTTTTTTTTTGGGTGCTTTTAAAGGAAGGAACACATCTAATCATAAATATTCCTTGTTTTATGTTTATGGATTTCAATAATAGTTAATGTTCAAGGTGAAAAAATGTTCATTCTTAAAATTATTTGATAATGCAATGAAAAAATAATTTTATCGACCATCCAAATGAAAAATAAAAAATTTTTATGTAATTTATTTATTTGTTATTTTATATAGTATGATATGCAAATGGATTTTTTTAGTTACCATCTCTAATGTTTATCATGATGACACCTTGGTTGAGATGAACATATGATTTTTATTCTTATAATTGTTGACAAGAGCTTCTAATTTTAATTTAATAATTTAGCATATGTGTTTGAGATTTTATGCTATATTACATTATTAATTATTATACACTTAAAACTGTATGTAGTACTCTATAAAATATTCATAATTAGTTTATACATAAGGGGGTCCCCAAACTTTTAATCATGTTTAAGCTATATTTAAAAATTAGAGAGGAGAGAAAGATTACTAGAAATAATGTTGAAGGAAAAATTAGTTAATGCTTAATATAAAATTATAGGTAAGATTGAGAGCTAGAAAAGCATGAAACTATAAATCAACGCTTCAATTATGTCAAAATACGATAATCTTAAGGGTAGTTTTTGTATCAAATTTGGTATTATGTAATATTAATTATTTTTGTTGGTTTTGATGAATTTTGGTAGAATAGTTATTTTGGCCGATATATGGATACAAAATATGTTTTGTAATTTTTAATTTATCTTTTATTATTTGATTATTTTTAACTTAATAAAAATAAAATTAATGAATAAAATAACCTTTGAAAGTTAAATTTTTCTTTTTTTTTTTTATTGCAACTTTTTTTCTTTTATGTCTTATTTTTGTAAATCAAAATTTATAACTATTTCAATCTCTTTAAAGAAAATAAATGTGTTCCCTCTTTAAAGTTTAATAATCTTAAAATTAAAATTAATTTTTTTTCATCTTTTTATTTTTATCTTAATATATTTTTACATAAAAAAGAAAATTACTTCTTCAAATATTATATAATCAAATTAAGTATTTAAAAATATAATTATAAATTGACAATATTATTTTTTATACTTTTAAACTTATTTATTTAGTTTTTGAAGATATTATATATTTATTTTACATATTATTACATATAAATTCATATATATTTATAAATATATTTATATTAAATCAAAAATTTTAAAATATCATATGAAAATAATTGATACCAACATATATATATATATATATATATATATATATATATATATTGAAGAAAACTGAAATATTGTGCTGCACGTATTAACAACTCTCAACATGACATAGACATGGTGAAGGTCTGACCTTGGTTAATACTTTATAGTTTCATGGTTTTTGGCAGCTTTTCTTTTTCTCCCTTTAAATGAAAACCCCTCTCTCCTCTCCTCACCCTACTGCTCTGGTGCAAAGATTGCAGAACCCTAAAAGATGTTGCATATTAACCCTGAAGGTAGCATATCAAATATCATAATCAAGGAAGAACTAAAGCTTAGCATTGAAGTTGAATATCTGAATATCTCCAAACTAGTAAACTGTACAGCTTAATCCTTTTTTTTTTCACCATTGAAGATTGATGAACTCATCAGTTGGTTTGAAAGCCACATCCTTGAAGCAAGATGTATCGCAGCATGACTTGACAAAAATAATTGCTAAACTCAATAGTCAATATATAAGTTAACATGTAGGTGACATTGAAGGAACTTTTTTTGGGTTTCAATTTCTGATTATGATCAATGATAAAAAATAAAAAAGTAAGTAGTATTGTTTATTGTTTATATTGCTCTGATGAACACTAGTGTTTTCATGTCATTTGGGATTTGGCAATGAGAAAATCCTGCCCTAAAAGCTTCGGCTCTAACAATATCTAACCACTGCCCGCCACCCATTGGGGCCACTAGTGTCACTATCTGCATCTGCATTTTAACTTTTCAACCACCAAACAATTCCGAACAAAGAAATTTTCACCATCGCATGCATGCCTCTTAAGCTCTCAACCACCTTTGATAACCTTGCCCACAATTAGGTGATAAAGGACCAATTGTTGGAGAGAAAAAGAGTTACATTAGGTCAGTGGAAGTAAATAAACTAAAATTGTTCAAGAGTGGAATTGAACTGTTCGAAGCCTTTAACTTTTAGCCCAAGACAGCCCTTGGAACACCACATGGAAAGGAAAGGCCGTCCATGGCTATCCAATGACCAATTGTAGCATCCGACCCATTAGATGGAAGCTGTTCTGTTGAGTCTCATTTAAGGGGAATTTATCCACACATAGAAAGAACTAGAAAAAGAAAACCCATGGATGATCATCATTTGTTAACATCAAACTGACATGACATAGAAAACAAGCTTATCTTTGGAATAAAGTGAATCACGTATGTCTAATTAGCCAGGCAAGTCGGACATGCTATTACAAAGAGAATGAACAACCAAATGCAACAAAAATACCCAGATACATCCATAAAACTTTAATAACAGTCTCTACGGAAAGGAACGTTTTCATTGATAGCATCCACGGAAGATCAAACAGAATCAAGGAGACAATACCAATCACTGCATTAAAAGTTTTGGAACTTTGCTAAAATTAGACACAGTCCCAAACATAAATCAAATAGTAAACAATCTCAGCCACCAGTAGTAATTAATGACAAGAAACTCGTAAACATTTGTTGCAACTGATGACCGGCCCTTAAGGACTTTCCTCTCAGTTCCACTCTGCTAATCTGATGACAAATTTCTTACAAGTTAACAATACCCACAATTCTCTAAGCAAAAGTATTGGCTTTGAACTCTTACTTTTTGTGATTAAGATTCAGTTAATAATGAACGATGTAGCAAGTTTAAAAACAGAAATCTCTTAATCAGAACCTCCAGAACAATTAATTTAATACCCAACAAAATTTTAAAAAAAAAATCTATGCAAGACTAGTCTTTAGAGCTCCGAGTTTATTTGGTGCCTCTGTATGAATGAATAGCCATTAGAGCTTTTCGTTTGAAGCTTATCAGACCAGTCTTTCAGGGGTTTTAGTATGCATTTTAGCAAAGACTATTGCTGATGGAGCTATAGATGTCCAGATAGCAACATGATTTTGCTAAAATTTTGAGGGTTTTAAAGAAATAGAATAATTAGCAAATAGTAAATAGTTTCATTCTTAAAATAATTGCTGATATAAGTAAACAATTACAAACAGAATGCAACAGAAACGAATCATATTATAAACTACACAACAAATATATAGAAATAACAAATATATAGAAATAATTCAATTCTTCCACAACATTAAATTGGATGTTTGACTAACTTCAATTTCTGAACGAAAACAATCTTAAGTTTCACTTGGATGATGGTGAAAAGCAATTTTTACCGTGGCTAATGAAAATCTCTTCTCATCGCTCATTCAATATTTAGCATTAATCAACAATACTCTTCCAGGATAACGAGTTGTAAGTTGATGGATTCCAGGGCTCACTTCTTTGCAGCAAGAACCCAAAAAATACACCGCCCCTGCCTGCAAAACCGCCATAATAATGAACAATGTAGCAAATTTAGAGACATAAATCTCATTTAAAAATCAAAAGAAACAATGATATAAAATGTATATACCCTTTTGGAGTTTGGACAGTTTCCTTCCTTCTGTATGTCAAAATCCATTATCAGACAACATTAAATCTTTGTCTTCGAAATATCTAAACCAAACACAAGGGTTTTTCTGACATCTTTCTTTCGGATTGCTCGTCATTAAAACTGATAACCAGCTTTGAGATGTCGAATTCATTCGAATTCCTTCTTTTCCCAATTTCGAATAGGTATTTTTTGCTGCTTTGATTCATTAGTCTCGGACTTTGCAGAACTCCCATAGACCTCGACTTGATCAGCTTGACCACTGGCATTTTCACTGTTACTTCAGGCTTTTTTCTTACCAATGCCACTTGGTCACCGTCCAAATCAATCTCTGTGGGCTCCATCTTCATCATCATTGCTGCCTCCCCAATCGAATCAATCGATTTAGATCTCACCACACGATCACCATTCACTTCACTATCGTGATCTACGCTCGTCACACTCGATACTTTTCGGCTATTTCTTCTACTTCCACACCTCGAACTCGTTACCACCTCCTCGCTCCCCTCAAACACCTGGTTCTTAACCAACGGGCTATCCAAACGTTCCATGCACGGCCTTAGGTTACTCCAAACAGGTCCGGAATGAATTCTTTTCCTCACCACCTTCAAAAATTCCACTACCTCCCCCATTCCGGGCCGTTTCTCCGCCGTTGATCTCACGCACCTAGCCGCCAACATTGCCAAACTCCTGATCACCTCCTTATCCATTGGCGGCCCGACACCATCGTCGCAAACAGCGGCGAAATATCCTCCCTTGATCAAAGGAATCGCCCAGTCAACGACGGACGGCGGACTATAATTCAAGTCAATGGCATGCCTTCCGCTAATAATCTCCAATAGCAAAATGCCGTAACTGAAAACATCACTTTTGGTGCTGACGTCACTTGGAGCCAAATAACCTGGGTCAAGATAACCTAACGTTCCGGCCGGTGGCGTGCACTTAACCCGTACATCCTCCATGTGTCCTCTTAATGCAAGCCCGAAATCACCCAACCTCGCATTCCATTTCTGATCAATCAAAACATTTGACGATTTAATATCCCTATGAATCACCGGCGGGTTAGCCGAATGTAAAGCCTGAACCGCTTTTGCAACCTGTAAAGCGAACCGAACACGCCTGGACCAACCTGGCGCTGTAGAAGGAGAAGAATGTAAAAGATCGTATAAAGAACCGTTTGGCATATATTCCACGACGATTAATTTATTCTTACAAAGGGTATCGGAACAGTAACCAATGAGATTGACCAGACGAGGATGATGAACTCGGGAGAGAATCTCAATCTCATTGTCCGCGGGACTGTTACAGTTTGTTGTCGTTTTTTTAACAGCTGCGATTAACTTACCGTTATCCAGGACGGCTTTGTAGACAGAACCGTGACTGCCTTTGCCGAGGAAGCTGTCGGAAGAGAAATCTTTGGTCGCGGAAAGGAGATCAGCGTAAAGAAACTGTCTGATCTCAACGTGGTTTTTGGTTTTCCTGGGCTTGTTTTTCTTGGATTTTCTTCCAGGATAATAATCCCAGTTGTAAGGATCACAAATGCCAACGGCTGACTCTGCATTGCAAGAGAAGTAACCCATGAGGAGGATGGAAATGAAAAAAAAAAAAAAAAAGCTCGTTTCTCTCTTTCTTTCTTTGGTTTTTCTCAGGTGGGTTCCAGGAGAGAAGTGGAAAGTGGCGTCGTATGGTGTGTTTCCCACAGAACGTCAATTGCTAAGGCCATCAAAGAAGGAAGGGGGTGGCTCCAAAGTGTTTTAAAGTGTGTAACCATTTACAGCTTTCGAGATTCGAACGCCATCAAAGCTTGAAATTTTTGAAAAAATTTTATTATTTATTTTATTAATTGATTATTACTGATTTTCGGCTCGGCCATGCAAAAGTGGGAGACTTTGAGAGGAATTTCTCGGGAGAAGGTTTAAAGATGTGGGGTAAGGTGGTTTTTTTTATTCCCAATTTTCCTTATTTTTAAAGAATTTTCAAACCTTATCTTATCAGTTGAATAACGCTACACCCACTACTAGTATTTAATCATCTTCTTATACAAACAAAACTTTTTTTATTATTTAAAAAAAATTTTAATTTGGTTTAATATAATTTTTATTACTTTCAAAAAACTTATAAAAATTTATTTTATAATTTTTTTAATTCGAATTCAAACAATTAAAATTTTCCCATTTTATATACATCCACCTTTCTTTATCATTTAAACCAATCATTCAAAAGTGTACAAAGGAAAATTCAAAATATTATTAGGGGTGACATTTGAAACTTTTCAAGGCAATTAGAGGTTGTTCTTTTGAGACTTTGTTTTGTTTTAATGTCTCTTTGACTGCTAGCTATCATTCTTTTTTTTTTTTTACTGCAAGTGCTATCATTCTAAACGCGAATAATCTCATTAGACATTTGGTGATTGATACGACTTTTCTTTTGCCGTTTTGTGCTCGTTTGATAGCATTTTAAGGCTGGCGAAATGACTGGATGACTCACGAATCTCTTGTCAATAATATTCGTTTCTGTTTATATAAATATCTCCTTATAATTGTAGTATTAACTGAGAATAGTGAAAATGAAGTTTTTTTTTTAATTTAAAATATAATTTCATTAATTTATATAATCATTTTAAAAAATAATATACGAAATTTAAATTATAATACTTTATTTTAAACAAAAATTTTTTTATAAAAAGATTTTTTGGTTATCTTTTTTATATTTATTGAAATTTGATAATAGTAAAGGATTAATTAAGGGTCAATATCTTTTTCTTCCTTTGATTAAGGGTTAAATATTAATTTAGAAAATATGACCATGGCTTAGGTAAAGTTGATCAAGAATTTCAAACCCAATTCATGAAAATTTCCTCGGATTTTTCTTAATCTAAAGTCAAAATGCTGGTGCTCCATATGCCGGTGAATACTAATATAAATCTTTTTATATTCTATTCTTGCAAATGAAGATAGATTGTTATCTCTCACCTATAAATCTTTTTATATTCTATTCTTGCAAATGAAGATAGATTGTTATCTCTCACCACTGCTAGTACTTGTTCGAAAAAAAAGTATTCTATAAATGATTTTTAAGTCACGGCTGATGTATATTTATTTGAATTTATGTGCACACATATATATAATTTAATGTAGCACATCACCTTCATTAACATTAGAAGTTATTGTACATTACCATTTTTTGGTTTTGGGTTCACATATTTTCATACTTTTTTTTTCTTTTTACATTAATCAAATGAAAACGACGTATAATTGCTTAGATTAATAAAGGTTTCGTAAAATCATTTTTCAATGTATGAAGTGGACAACTAAGAATAAAGGTTTCCAATCAAATGAGCTTGTACTTTTAATGTTATTGTTTTGCGACAATTGGTTGGTTCATTAACCTCAACCACTCAAGTTTTTTTTTTTTTTTCAAATATAAGATGGGCATGATCATGGGAGAATGAAAAGAAATTTTGGTTCAAAATCAATTATTTTTATATTTTTAAAAAAATTTTCAATGATCAAATCAAAGAGTTGAAGACAATACTTAATATTCGAGTATCATAATTTCTAATAATAGTTTTCAAAATATAAGAATTTTTTATTAAATGAGTGAAAAACTGCTGATTTGTCTCTTAATATATGTATTGGAACAACATACTATAAAAATACTTACCTCATAATCGAAAGAAAAGCAAAGGTAATTATAAGGTCTTGGTTTGGTTCAATCAAAATGATCAACCTACTAGATTAAAATTTTATTTGGATGAACGATAAGATAAGTTTTGATGAGATTAAAAATAATAATAATAATTATTATAACTATGATTGAAAAAAATTATTATAATTACAATTGAAAAAAATTTTATTAAATGAATCTCATTAAAATTGATATTTAAATTCAATTAATAATACAATAAATTCATTCGTATCATACAAAAAATACGATGAAATCTAAACTTAGCTTAAAACTAAGTGATAAGCCCATCTATAACGTGAATTATGAACTCAAATCCCACCCTCTAATTATAGTTAATGATAATATATATATTTGTTCACCTTTAATCTAATATTTCTTTGATGACCCTTCTTTTGAGTTTGATTAAAGAGAGGTGATCAGATTCATATGCTAATGGCAGACAGATCATAACAAGAAATATTTTTTTAGAATATATTTAGATTTTAATTAATTATTTAAAATAGACAATAATATTCATTGAAATACTAAAAGACCAGCCCACACTTGCCACTCATCATTTCACTGCTTCAATAATTTGTTTATATAGATGCGTCGTGCTTTGTTTAAAAAAAAGAAAAGGATGAATCCTTTGAATAAAAAGAATGAATCGAACTCAAAGGTTAAACTCAATGTAATTATTTTTATAAAATAAAATTTAATATTTATATTTAAATTATGACATCTTTTGTGAAAAATAATCAACAATGGTACGGAGGAGAGATAGATGGAGGAAAGTATAGAATACTAAGCCAAAATTTCCTAATAAAAGTGTGGGTGTTGGCCCATAAGGCCATAACCATAACTCGGTTTGGCATTTGTATTGAAAAAGATGTTGATAATTTGGTTGGGAGATCAGATGAGCAAAGCAAACATGCATCACCTGCCAGCCTAAAGTAGAAAGAATGCCCTGTAATGGAAGTAGGCTTTCATGATGAATATATAATTAGCCTGCCTCAACTCTCGTGGTTGGAGGGTCGGTCTTATCCAAGTTTCTTGCTTTTAGTTTTGGGCCTTCACATTGATTCTTATAGATTGTCAACCCAACCACTCTTTTTTTGTTTTGATTTTGCACAGCAGGGTGGAGAAATGGGGATTTGAACTTGGATCTTATATATATATATATATATATATATATATATATATATGTTAGGAGGAAATTATGTGTTTACTATGGTCCAAAAAAAAAAAGAATAACATGAAAAATGAATATGAAAATATCATTACTAATAACCATATGATTTATAGATAAAATATTAAATTTTTACCTGTTGTTAAAATTTAAATTTTAATAATTTTAAGTATAAAAAAAATGAAAACATCGTATTTCAATTTATAAGAATATTTGGGTAAAATGTATTTTTAGTTGGGACAAAGGTTTTTTTTTTTAAATTATATTCATATAATCAATTATTATATCACTGAATAATTAATTAATAAATTATAATTAAACTAAACAATTAAATTCATGCACAATAAACTTGAATCTAGAACTTTAAGGTTTTAAAATCTCCTTCTTGCCACTAATTTTAAGCTATTTTTTGCTTTAATTTATGAAGCTAGCATTACGTTTTGATTGGTCCATAAATAGAAAATAGAGGCAAATATAGCTTATATAGGTGGGAAGTGAATTTATAGGAAGATAGTTATTGTGTTTGATAATGTTCTAATTGTTTAACTAAACATTATAAATTTTTTATTTAATGATTAGTGTACGTTATTTTTACTTTAAAAAGTATTTTGATTTAAATTCAAATTTTAAAACGTAAAATTTAAATCTTAGCATATAAGTTTTTTTCAACTTTCTTTATGAAAAAAAAAAGCTTTACACGTTATACATTAGCAGGCTAACCCAACCCAACCCACCTCACCAACTCCATGGCCCTAATTAAGATGGGAGGTTAGTTCTCTACTTAATATTCATGCAAGTATATATAATATATAGTCCCCCACAAATTCCTTCTTTTCTTTTTATCTTCCCTCACCCAAAAGCACCTAACTTTTGAGAATCATAGGAGAGCAGGTAGTTAGTAATTTATAATTCCCTTTTTCTTGGACTAAACATATTCGTTCTTTGTTGTATTACCTCATTCCAAATTAATGTATCTACCTTCAAACTGAAGCATCATCTATCCAATCAGAACTTGGTGAATGATAATAGAATAATGAGGGTGGATCATCTAACCTTAGTACTCAAGATGTAGATTCAACCTAGAACTAATATATTGTTTTACTCCTCTTTTCAAGTCAATCTTTTTGTCTTCATGCTCTCTTCTTGTAATAAAATGGTATATTTCATGTAAAATTTGTATAACTCAAATAAAATTTATGACGAAATATAGATTAAACATATAAGATTGACCGACCTCTTTATATCTTATCAAATATCAATCTTCGAACACCATAAACAATGATCCAATCTAAATCGATAAATAAATGAAACTTTTTTCGTTACAAATTGAAATAATTTATGTAGTTACATATATAAAAACCACAAAGCCTTGACTTATAATAATAATAATAATTATTATTATTATTATTATTATTTTGGATGAGGCTTGATATTGAATTAAGATAGTTGAGTTGATATATTCTCTTCATCTTTATCCTTTCTTAATTAATGGGATTAAAAATCTGAAAGCATACATTTGAAATTATTCGTACACTTGTTAAGATTTTTTCATTTGTGACAATAGCTAAAAAAAAAAAAAGTCGGATTCTAATGCGAGTGTGTGGCAAGAACTAGAAGATATGATCAACCACAGATTTTAGTAGGTATAAGTCAACAACCCATTGTACACGCTTCAAATGAACAGAGAAAAAAAATGAAAAACTATTAGTGTTTAAAAGAAAAAGCAAGAAAAAAAACTTCTAACAGTAAATTAGTAGTTTTTTTTGCAACTAGCTTTTACATGTGCTTTCTTCCAAAGAATATGGAACATTTCCACATAAAAAAATCTGATTTTTTTTTTTCAAAAATACTCCGACCGCAATGCAATCTGTAATCTGTGATATTTAAGGCCTAGGATTTGACCTACACAAATCTGGTCAGGAATAGTAGCGTTTTTTTCTTTGTATAGCTAGCTTATACATCACTGGAAAAGCATAGCCAGGTAATTGTCACCCGGCAAATTCCATTGCATATTGAAGGAACTTAATTTCCGCTAATGACTGTTAAGTCTTAACTATGCATTATAAACATGAACGATGGAAAATGGTATCCATGATTTCTATTATTCGAAGACTTTCTTCCAAATCACACTGATTTTATCTGTTTGGAACGAGGGAAAATAAAACATGTAGTTGTAGTAGTAGCAGTAAAAGTAATAAATAAAACGACGATAGCTGGTTAATTTACTTCCACACCTCACTTTGGGTTCCGTTCATTGAATCCAACTATGAATTTGTCTATTTTTTGGGGGGACCAAAAAATTCTCCACAAGAAATCAAAACCGTAACCATCTGCTGTAGGTTCATTTTCAGATAAGCATTTGAGTTTTTATTTTTTATTTTTTTTAACTTGAAACCTCATCCAAAAGTTTGTATCTTCTTACCTTGTTTCTGAACACATGCCTTGTAATGAGCCCACTGTTTGATATCTCTTCTGACTTTTTTCTCCTGAGCTTTTCTTCTAAACGAGCGTTCGTTATGATTCTTTTTCGCGTCGTACCTGGCGATAATTTCTCCGGTGACTTTGGTTTCTTGATGGGGTTCTTCATCAGTTGCAGCTTTACATTGGTAGTATGTCTTTGGCTGCCTTTTAAGCCAGCTCCATGGTTATTATCGCCCTTTTTCTTGTTCTTATTATCATCTTCGTTGTTGTCTTTACATGATGCTGAAGAATTCTGAGACTTTTCATTTGAATCCTCGTTTTGATTCAAACACCAATTACAAACTTTACAAGACTCGGCTTTTGGATACAGACTGCTACAGTATCTGCAAAAAACCCATGATGATCTTGATCATCTATCCCAAGAAAGAAAACACAAGTAAATTTTTTCAAAAAAGAAAAACTAATTCTTGATCAACAAGAACAAAACCCCAGAATGAAAAACAAAGGAAACTTGAGTGGGGATTTAAATTTTTACCTGTGTTGAGATCTGAATTGGCAAACTTTGCATTGAAAAAGCTCCTGAGTTAGGCCAGAATCGCCACACATGCAACACTCGAGGATGCCGCTTGATTGCTGTGACGGTATTGGTACAATCTCTTCGTTATTTGCTGTCATCTTTTTTGCTTCATATGTGAGAGAGAAAAGATGATTTTAAGGGGCAACACAGACGGCCACACAAGAAAATTAGAAAACCATGTTTCAATGGAGTTTTACTGCAATAATACATTAATGAATGTTGGATATCATTTTCGGTGTGTGAACATATAAATATATATAATATATATAATATAATATATAACTATATATGTCAATTTTCAGTGCTTGTTTTTGCCCCCAGAATAGAATGCATGGTTGAGATTTGAGGATTGGCTTTTCGGGTGTGAGATGTAGTAGCTGATAGCAACATTCTTTTCTATCAAGTCCTTTGGAAAATTTGTTTTGCCCCAAAATTAATGCCAAGAAAGTCATCATCAAAGAAAGGTAGATGAAAGAAAAAGAAGTTTCTTTTAGGGAAATAAACAAATAAAATATAGGCCATACATACGTATATATGTATATTGTAGTAGATTCTACCAAGGCTGCCAACTTTATTACAGGTCAAGAGTGATAGTAAATTCTTTGCCACATCACGAAACAAATCACAAAAATGAAATAAATAAACCTAAATCATTTCAAGACAAAAGAAAAAAAAAAAGCTTGGGTTTTGTGGTATTTAGGCAAAGAATCAATGGAGGGTAGTAAACAAACATGGGATATGGCCACAGCTAATTGGATTTTTGGGAATCAAATTAGATATAAAGACATGTCTTTTGCAATTGGTGATTGTTAATTTTTGTCAAATGACATGGCAGGGAGTGTGCTTTTGCTTCATTTCCATCGATTAAGGAAAGTATTTAAAAATGGTGTAGGACATTGTAACTGGTCGATACTCTCGAATGAAGGGAGGCCTTTTTTTTTTTTTTTTTTTGTTATAAAGAATAGTAGTATTGCATGATTGTTTTGTTAATATAAATTTGGAGTTGCTTTTTGGGACATGTCACATGACATATATATATATATATATAGATCCATTATATTATAATCTCATATTTTTACATGAAAGTTTGATTAATTTCAATTATAGTACTTGTGATACAACTGATCAAGTAATGTTATTCAAGATTTGGTTCATAAAAAAATTTGTTATCATAAATTAGTAAGATTCATGTTATTCATGATCATGACTGGACCTGATGAATCCTAAATATTAGTAATTGGAAACCAATTCAACATGATTTACAATATATACTAAGAAAGTTCCCATATAGTAATATTTATTGTAAAAGATTTGCTTAACAAAATGATCATCTCAGTATACAGGTAACAGTCACACATTTTAATTCAATTTCTCTAAAAATGAGATTTAAGGTTAACAAATTAAAAAATAAAATATTACCAATAAAATGGTTAATTCAATAATACTAAAATCTACTTCAAAATTAAATCTCATGAACTTTGACATGAAAATCAGAAAAAGGCAGATTGGAAACTTTGAAGAAGAATATGGATTATCCCTAGGTGAAGTCAAGTGTGTTTGGCCTGAATAAGTACAAACAACATTTGTCAGACATTCACGTGCTGCACGTGTCAACACGTGCTTCTAGATGTTTCAGAAAAAAAAAAAAAAAATTTTGAAGAAAACCTTTTGATTTTCCCTTTTAGTCTTGGAAATTTCTTCCTGTCTTTTACGACTTTCGAAGGCTGATTAGCAGCAGCACTAACCCAACGCCGAGAAGTGCTACATTGCAAAATAAAACCTTCTATCAATGCGTGGATTTGAATAACTTATTGTCGTACAATTGGTCTCAATGTCCCTTTCAATTGAAGGGAAAAGAATCAAGAGGTTTGCTGGTCCTAAAATATTCAGATTATTTTACTGTATTAACAAAAATAAAAATATTTTTTAATTACGACTATAAATTATTTTATTCAAATAATTCATTATCATATCCAATTTTACACTTAACATTAAATTTATATTAAAACATATATTTTTGTCATTAAATTTAATTTAATTTCATCATCATTATTATTTTTAATTTTATTAAAATTAATTTTATATTACGTTCAAATAAATTTTATACTGTATTAAACCGTTTAGAAAGAAATTTAAAACCTAAAAGCAAAACAAAACACAATTTTTTGATAATACCGTTTGAAGATTCCGATAAAGAACCCCTAGTTTTAAACTGTTTTAGCCGGCATAACAAGTTAACAACTAGAATATACTTACGAAGGTAAGACTATAAAGAACTGACAAGACAACAATTTTCGATTGACCAACGTAAATTTCAGGTCAAAGTCACAAGCCCATTACATATCACCGGAAAGCAGATGATTAAATTATAACACATGCATGGTCACTTGCCTTCGATTATAAGTAAATGGCTGTTAAAATATCGAACGCATCCATCCACCCGTGCACCTCTAACCAGCGCTAAAGGAAAGGAGAGTTTCCGACGTGAGTGTAAAGGTATGTAATTTTTTACAAATATGAATATATTTGATTTTTTTTATTTATTAAATTTAATAACTAATTTTAAATAATATTTTAATATTCATTTAATAGACAAACTAAACACAAACATAAATATATTTAATTTGTTTATGTTTATGAATAAACTTATTTAACATTCATGAATAAATTTAATAAATATTTAAGTTTTTATTTTATCTAAGATTATTATTTTATGATTATTTTATGACCTATTTTATTTTTATAGGTTTTAAGTCCTAAATTGGTTTACAAGATCAATTTTTTAATTATTTATGTTTATTTATATATTAGTGAACATATTTTATTTAATATTCATGAAAAAATTTATTTAATTTAGATGAATTAATACCAAACCGATTTCAAATATTTTAATATTTAAATACACTGAATTTGAATATAGTATAAAAGTTTCTTATGAAACACGAAGTGATCTCGAACACTCCTATAAATAACAAACGAATTTCGAATATAATAATATTCATTCAAACTTTGTTAGTTTACCCTCGTAATTTCCAAGTGGATTCTCAAATTCTTTTTGATTGAAGAAGTCATGGCACAGATTCTATTCAAAACTGTTGCAAGAGAAGACACTGAACCGCCAGCCAAATGAATGATTCAGCAAATGAGATCCAAGACTGAAAACAAGATGGCATCAGTGCAACAGGAATGAAGATGAAAACAAGATAAGCTCACTCATTTACCAATAATAAAAAAGAAAAGAAAGGAAAACAAATAGACATTTGCAAATTGAACTGTTACTTCACTATGGAAAATCTCTTCAGAAACCCAAACAACCCAAACAATAATCAATAAAAATTGGTTCTGATGACCAGAAATCATAAAATTTACCAAGATATTTCGTAAAAGGAAGTAAACAAGAGTAAGAACTAACCAAGAATTTCAAAACTAACACGGTCATAGAGATGGATTGGGCATAAATAATTAACACGAGATGGTGGCGACATTCTTTTCCAGCAGGAGCTCAGTGGTGGCAGCCCTTTGTAGACTTGACTCTCACATTTAATGGCAGTTTGGCTTCTAATCCAATTTTTAATAGGCATCACAGGTTGGAGCAATAGGCAAGTCGCTAATCAACCCCGGAGATAACAATCAATGGCTAACATCATCAGTGACACATTTAGCCATGCCTTGACAACTACTACTGGACTGGAGTCACTTTCAAGATGATTTCTTGATAATGACATAAACTAAACAGGAGAAATCTGCTTATCAGAATCTTGAAACATTTGCAAACTATACCAAAGATACAAATATGAACCTGATAAGCTGCTTTATCATTTTGCGATGACGAGGATTGAGATCCACATGAACCACTTGCACCAGTTTCCCTGTTTGAATTACCTTTTCGATGAATTCTAAGATTTAAACTTCCGTGCAGTATCTTAGATTCAACATCTTCCCTTTATCACCCGATATTGAAGTTTCAAAATCTAATCCCATCTCCTCATCATAATCAGAGTCTTCTCTTTCAGATCTTGGACAATCCTGGGAAGCATCATTGTTAGCTTCTGAGCGATAGACTATGCCACTCAAGGACAATACCCTTCCGGTTCGAGATTCAGACCTACATGCCCGTCACTTGCCATGTTATTTTTTTCATCCTCAACTAATTAAGGAAATGAAATTAAAATAAAAAAAAAAGGATAAATGTTCAGCAAAAGTCCTAACCAATCCGAGAGATATTTATCCTTCACATTGTCAAGGAAACCATTACCACCCCGAGAGAGAGGAGTAGAAGGAAACTTAGCATAGGCAATAAACATACTGATTTCATATTCTCAAGTAAAAAATTATGAACATTAAGTATGCTACAAGTAAACTCGAATCTCAACAAAGTAAAGTTAATCCAAGAACAAAGACAAGGCTTAGAAACGAGGCGAGAGGGTCAATTGTGTTGGGATTTGCCTTGAATCTCAGAATCCCACATCGAAAGTTAAGTAAGTTTGAATTTGTCTTGTATCCCACATCGGGAGTTTAGTAAAGGTATAAAGGGTTTCACCCCTATAAATAAGATGTTTTGGTTTTAGTTTAGTAACCCCAGAGAGTTAGACACCAAGAGAATAGCTAAGTGAGTAGGCTATTAAAGGGTGTAATTGGGTTTTGGGTTAAGTTTTGAGTAAGGAGTTTTAGGAGACTTTTCTCATTCTAAAAGTCTCACAATTGTAAAGATTTATTTGATAGTGGATTAGATTTGGAATAGGCCATTTTGAGTTGGGCCGAACCAAATATATTTGTGTGTTCTTATTCTTGATTTGAGCTTGTTATTTTGTGTGTGGTTGCTGCGCGTGGGTATTGTTGTTTTTCCCAACAAGTGGTATCAGAGCAAGGTTCCAGGTTCGAGGTTCTAGGTTCGTGGGTCCAAGAGATCGTGAAGCAGTGTTTGAAGATGTCTGAAGAAGGTATGTCTGGTATGTCTATGCCTAAGTTTGAGATTCCGTTATTTGATGGAAAGAGTAATTTTATGTTATGGCAAAGTATGATTCAAGATCTGTTAGTACAACAAGGATTGGATCAGGCATTGGAGAGTAGTAAGCCTGAAGGAATGTCTGATGCTAATTGGAATAGGATTCAGAAGAAGGCTGTTAGTACTATTAGATTGGCGTTAGCTCCAGAAGTAAAGTACAGTGTATTGACTGAGAGTACTCCGAAGAGTTTGTGGGATAAGCTTGAAGGTATTTATGCTTCGAAGTCGTTGACTAATAGATTATGTTTGAAGATGGATCTGTATTCTCTAAAGATGGAAGAAGGTATGAGTCTTCATAATCACCTGAATGAATTTAATAAATTGGTTTCTCAATTGTTAGCGATTTCTGTTGATGAGTTAAAAGATGAAGAGAAGGCTTTAATTTTGCTGTCATCTTTGCCCAAGTCTTATAGGCCTTTAGTTCAGACTGTGTTGGTAGGCAGGTCTACTTTGAAGTTGGATGATGTAACTGCCCTGTTGCGTGAGAATGAAAGGTTTATGGGAGCTCAGAACTCATCACCTGGGGGGAGTACACTAGCTGTAGAGGGTTTTGATCGATGGAGGACTCAAAAGAGGATTGATGGATCAAGATGGAGATCCAAGTCAAGAGACAGAGATTACAGTGATGTAGAATGTTATTATTGTGATGAGAAGGGACATATCCAAGTGCGCTGCAGGAAGCTGAGAAGGGATATGGCTGCTTTCAAAAGGGCGAATGATGAGAAGAAATCAGATGAAGAAAAGAGTGATACTGCTGCTATTTTGTCTGATGATGATGATGTTGTTTTGACAACTTGTGTGGATGAGACCCAGACTTTGAAAAGTGACAAAGGTTGGGTTTTAGATTCAGCTGCTACAGTTCATGTTTGCAATGATAGGAGCTGCTTTGTGGAGTTGAATGAGAATGAAAAGTATGGGGATATTGTGGTTGCTAACAAAGAAAATGTGCAGATTCAAGGCATTGGGAGTGTTCGCCTTAAATCTCACAATGGTGTTATTAGGACACTTCGTCATGTAAGGTATGTACCAAATTGTCACTACAATTTGATTGCTTTGGGTGAGTTAGCTTCTCGAGGGTACACATATTATGGTAGTAATGATTGGTTGAAAGTGTACAAGAATGGTAGTGTGATTCTACAAGGGAATAGGGTCAATCACTTGTACATGTTTGATGGAGGCTCAGTTGCTGGAATGCCTGTGATGAAAGAAAAGAAGAAAGGTAAGCATGTTAGCTTTGCAGATACTGTTGAAGTGTTTGGAGATTCAAGTCAAGGGAGGATTTGTTGGGATTTGCCTTGAATCTCAGAATCCCACATCGAAAGTTAAGTAAGTTTGAATTTGTCTTGTATCCCACATCGGGAGTTTAGTAAAGGTATAAAGGGTTTCACCCCTATAAATAAGATGTTTTGGTTTTAGTTTAGTAACCCCAGAGAGTTAGACACCAAGAGAATAGCTAAGTGAGTAGGCTATTAAAGGGTGTAATTGAGTTTTGGGTTAAGTTTTGAGTAAGGAGTTTTAGGAGACTTTTCTCATTCTAAAAGTCTCACAATTGTAAAGATTTATTTGATAGTGGATTAGATTTGGAATAGGCCATTTTGAGTTGGGCCGAACCAAATATATTTGTGTGTTCTTATTCTTGATTTGAGCTTGTTATTTTGTGTGTGGTTGCTGCGCGTGGGTATTGTTGTTTTTCCCAACAAATTGGACTGAGAAGAAACATCAGGGAGTTCAGTACTTCCTGTTATAAGAACACGGGATCTATCAACTAATGAACTAAACAGAGAAGAAAGGTTGGACCGGCACCAATGTTAACTCTCAACAACCAAGACAATTTACTCAAACCCAACACCAGCTTTTAGTAGGAGTAAGATGACTAAGACTTCAATCGGTTCATGCAAAAAATAGGCCAATTCAGCAGCTTTTGCTCAATTTCTGGTGGAGTGAATTTCTCATCAGTACGAGTTAAGGGAACGACTCCCTGACCTGTGATTTACATATAAAGGATACGTCGGGTGTAAATACCCTCTTTAACTTTTATTCTGATGAACTGAATATCTTTCATAAGAAATCGTAGAAAGATGCGACGCTAAATCCGAATTGCCTTGCACGCGTGAATATGGGAAGACAATTAACTTTGAAGTTAAAGAGGTAAGACACTTCAATTGGACATACAAGGAGTTTTATGCTTACTTACAGGGAATTTCCATTTTATGCCTACTTAAAAGTAAGGAGAGAATTTCCAAAGCCGCATCAAGCGTTGGCATAAGTCCAGGTTGGTAACACAGGACGGTTCCCTGAAATAACGAAAGATTCTTGGGCTTCAATTCCCAAACTAAAACAAGCCCACTAAGTACTAATTCAATTGGCAATTGTTCTGCTTTTACCAAGATTTTGTTTCGTTTTTTTTTTTTTTTTCTAAGCTTTAACCAAAATTTATAAAATCAGGCTTTGATCTCGTGTCAGGTAGATCAAAATTTAAATTTTTTTTATATAAATAGATTAGTAATAAAAATTATTATTATTTAAAAATGTATTTAATACATTATTTTTATAAATTTAAAAAGAATAATGCATTAATTAAATTTCTTTCTTTAAATATCATCTTAATTTCATTTTTTAGCAAACTATTAGTATTTTACGGAGATTTATAAAATATAAACAACATATTTCAAAAGATAAAAATGAAAAAAAAAGGCCCTATTTTGTTCTTAAATGAGAAATTTCAATCTTGATGCACCATTGAGTCAAATCATAACTTTGTAATTTTTTTAAAAAATTATTTATTTAAATTTAAAATATATTTATCAAAATAACAACCAATGTCTACCTTTAAAATTTACTCCTAAAATGAATTTTATTAGCAAAAAAATTGCACTATTTCTTTACTTATAAGCATAAAACATTAAATTATATAAATAATATCATTTTTAAACATTCAATTTTTTCATATACCGAATTTAAAATATTAAAATGATGATTTTTAATTTTTAAGAAAATCTAATAATTCGTATATTTATATCATGTAAAATACTGATAATTCATGTATTCATATTATGTGACATAAAAATACATATTATAATTTATCATACACAAATACAAAATATATTTTTTTATTTTATTAAATCTATATATACTAAAATTTTAAATCGTATTATTTTCATATATTTTTTATATCATTTTAATATTATATCATTATATTATATTTTAAATTATTAAATCTATTTTCAAATACATTAAAAGAAATTGTTAAAATTATATTACCAAATATGACATCAAAAATAATTAATTCAATAATAAGCATAAAAATGCCAAGGTGAGATCAAAACATTTTTTATTCTTTGAAAAATTGAGAATCTCTATTTCGCACCAACAGATTGACACGAGGGACCAACCTCTTTTAGGTGAATGTCCAGTTTCACGCACGCTCCCATCTTTTTCATTTTAAGTTAATAAATATAACCTTTTTTTTCGGTTAGTTTTTTTTTTTTTTAATCTACATTGAAATGAAAAAAGTTTGGAATCCCTTTTTTATATATTCGATGCATTTTCAATTTTTTTTAGATTTTATATTTTAGATAATATTATGATGCGAATACGATATAAAAATAAATAATATAATTTAAAATTTTAATAAAAATTATATATATAAATATAACAAAATAAAATATATTTTATATTTTTATAATTTTTATGTAAAATATTATATAAATAATACACAAAATATTGACATTTTACACGAGAAAAATGTGAGATCTACTCTCCTCTTTCTTTATTTCCTCTCATCTGTCTATCACTACAACAGCATTTCAGGCTCAACCACTCCCCTTCTTTGACGCTATCATTCTACTTACTAGGAAACATGATAGTAATGATCACCTTGCAGGCCCCCTCCCATTCCCCCTTCTTCGTCCTTTCACCCTCCAATGCTATGCTATCACTTCGGAAAAGATTGACCAGTGGTTGGTCTCTACTTTTAACTGAATATATACATATATATATATATTTCCTATTAGTATTAATCAGTGTTTTCTTTTTATGGTTTGATTTTGATTACATAACCCTAACGTGTTCATTGATGAGATCAATGAAAAAGATGTTGAGAGCGGTCTAAGAAAAATTAAGGAGAAAAAGAGAAGTTATTACTCTTTCCTTTTTCTAGTTTTCCAGTAGCAATGACTAGAGGGAAACTGGTAGATCCATTCTACTTCTTCCTGATCTAAATAATGGAACTTTAGTGGTCCCATCATCGAAACCATCAACTCCATGAAAATGGACAAGTTTGCACCATTTCTGTGGGGAGGGGCTAAGGGACTAGGAGCTAAGACATGGACATCTCATTCATAAATGCGTGCATGCAACGTAAATCCATAGGCATAGTCATAAAGACATGGATAATAACATCAAGCCAAACATCATTCATTACCATCAAACCACTACAATCACGAGTTTAACAAGGAAAAACACCATAGATAAACCCCATGATGGCAGCATACAAACACATAAGAAGTCTTTCCCACAATCAAATTAAAGTACCACGTAAATAAGGGGCAAAACAAAATAACACTACCCATCATACCAAACAGAGGAAAACATTAGCATGACAAACGCAGGCCAATGGGAGATGAGAGAGATGGTGTGATCTGGGGCCCTTCCAGCAAGTTGTTGCATGATGAAATGGGAGAAGGCTCTTTGCTCGTGCAATTTTCTACATCAAAGAAAAGGGAACCCACAAGGATAAAACCTTTGACAAGAATACAAAAAGGGGAGAAGAAAGTGAGGATTGGGACCCAAACACCTAAGGGGCGTGCTCTTAGCCCCTTTATGAGGGTCCCTTTAGAATAACCAGTCTTCTCATTCACACAGCCGACCCCTCATAGCACCGGTGTCAGTGTTACTCCCTCTAAACCCCAAGGCGTAGACTAATGATTCACCTTCCTTTGTTGGGACATAAATATACTGCACTATCACTGCTTTCTCTAGAAAATAGAGATATTTTAAGCCAAACCTACTGGTTTCCAACTCAAGTCATTGAAGAAAGACTTAAGAAGGGGGTTCAAGATCTCTCCACCATTATCTTCTGATTTTCAACTCCTTCGTTGGAAGACTCCAAATTATATGCAAATCCATGCTCGAATGTATATACTCTACTTATTTAACAAGCTTCACTAACAATGGCTAATAATTACAGATGCTACCACTAACACTACTAATAAGAACAGTTGCAACTCGGAGTATCAAGTCCCAGGGTTTTGGCTTTGAGTTTCAAGGATTTCAGGTAATCAATGGCTTCATCAAGAACCACAATTGCATCCTTGCCCTCTCCACCTGGAATTATGCTTTGCAAAACACTCAGCGTCTCACGGATTTTATCCTTTCTAATTCTCTTATTGCCTGAAGATGAATCCATACCACCAGACTGTCCAGACCCCATATTTTGGCCATTGGCAAAGCTGGAATCTGCATCATCCTCATACTCAGAACATCTGTGAGGATTTGCTGAACTAGCAGTGTCCACAAGCAATGGCACATAATTATTAAAGGCATCAAGCAGTTTTCGCTTTTTAGTTGGACCAGCAGTGCTAGCAACCTCTTCAGTGCCTTCCTCAAATTGCTCATTATGAGCTGTCATTGTACTAGGAGAATGACCCGTGCTTGTAACTTCTTCATCCTCAGTATAATCACTATCATCATCCGAGAAAAGCAAAGCATTGAGTTCTTCAGTGTCCTCACGCATTTCACTTTGCACATCAGTCCCATTGTCATCAACTATATCTGTAGATATTGGTCCAGAGTGAAGATTCGGGTTTATTTTAGCTATGGGATCTTCCCTATTGAAGTTACAAGCAGCAGGAGATTTTGGACCCCAAGAAGTCAGGCACTTAACAGGAGTCCCGAAAGCAGAACTAAAGATCAGGGTAGTTTGATGACCATATTGATCAAAAACAAGGAATCTCTTCTGACCACACCCAGACCCCACCACGGGGATAATATTTTCCGTATGATTTTCATGAGGGTTAGCTAGGAGTTGCTCTTTCAAGAAAGAGTTTGATGCGGGCGCTAAGACCTGTTGAAAACGGGGTAAACGATAAAACCAGCTATAAGGTTCATTAACTTGGCCAACCCGCAAGTGAGGGAATTCAGGATTTACATAAACTGGCAAAGTCCCAGTGGCTGAGACCATATTAATGCCCGAGTTTACGAATTGAGGATTATTACTTTGCTGCCCCAAAGGATGAGGAGCAGCCAAAGAATTCAAGTTGGGTGATTGCCAATTAAATTGCTGCTGAGAAAACCAGGATCCACAACCTTCTCCCATCCAACCAGAACAATCACCTACAAAAACATCAGAGCCAACTTGAAAAGGATATTCCAAAGAAAAAAGTAGATATTCATAAAGCAAATTATTATCAACACATACCAGTAGTCGGATGCTGTAGAAGTAGATATAGCAGTATACTTGCAGTTTCTCTCAAAAACAAGGAAAAAAACTAAAAACTCCAGCTTAACTTGAACGCGGAAATTTAAAAGAAATCTACGTAACAGGCTTAAGCAGATGACGGAAATATTCGGCCTGGCAAAAACCCAAGAAAAGAAATTCAATAAAAGACTTTACATAAACGTTCTCACCAATCATCAATAACAAAAACAATGAACAAGGAATCTCATATATTAAGAAAAGAAATGTAAACCAATGAAATACAAAACATCACCGAACATAAGGTATCTAATTCCTTCATAAAGACTCATAAAAGAATATTAGAAAGAAGGGAGAAATAAAGAAAGAAAAACAAACCTGGCAATCCTGAAGAGGTTGAAAGCATGCTATAACTCTAACTACAATGGTGGCACTCCCCGCAATAGCATTTTCGTACTTTAATGCCCGGAATCTTGTTTGGCTCGCTGCTTGGCACACCATAACTACGTCCCAACCCTTCAATATGGCACAAAAAAGAGAATCTTCCGGACGACAGCTTATTCAAAACCCGTAATCCAGATCAAGAAAAATTGAATAACTACTACTACTACAAAAACTCTGCCTACCATCAAATGATAACTCTTGGATTAGAAATTTGAGAGATGGGTCTGAAGTTATTCAGCTAATCTGGCGAACATAACATGGAATGACAATGAAGAAAGTGGATCCCATTGCAGATAGAATAGTAAGACTACCGAGTTTAAAAAAAAGGAGGGGCCTTGGTGATAAGATTATGGAATTACAGAATGACTCTACAATACAAGTTCGAGGAGATAACTGTACGAAACACATCAACAGAAAGACTCAACCACCACCGCATGCTGTTCCTTTTTCACTGCAAATCGCCACGATTCACTATATTTGTAACAACCCCAAATCAACCTAGTCAAGAACCCTGCAATGGCCAACAGATTCGTTATTCGCACATCAGATACATAATCTCTTAACTATAGTACTTAAAAATCTAATGCAAAACAAAAAAGGAAGAAGATTTGATATTTTAGCTTTGCAAAGGCATTCACGAGAGAGGTGAACAGGTAAATCAAGAGTCCATTTTCCTATGTACTGTAACTGTTGAGATTAATATATGAGCTTTTAAAACCTCGAGCATTAGATCTATTATGGGTTTCTTCTTTTTTGAGGTTTTACTTAAATTTTTCTCACTAACCAAAAATTGATTATTACATCAAATCTAATAAAATAAATTTTATGAAAAAAAAAAAGAAAACTAAGCTGAAAAATAGCATAAGGTATAAACTTTAACTCCAGTGAAAGAGGAAAATAATCTAAAATCCCAGCAAGAAATCAAAGTCTTCTTACAAAAATCAACAAATTTAAACAGATTCAAGCAAACGACTTGAAAATGAAAAGCATCAAAGGAGCTGACAACTTACAGAAAAGAACAAAGGAAAGAAACCCAAATGCAAAACCACGAAAACGAAAAACCAACTGCTAATTGCTCCAATCCTTGAGCTCCAAAGTCCAAAGAGAGACTTTCAACCTTTTTTTTTTTTTGCAAAGACAGAAAAATTGGAATGACAGAAAAAGGGTCGAAATTTTATGGACTGCACGAAAGCTAAGATTAATACTAGATTATTATATAGAAAATTAAATTGACGAAAATATCCTTGAAACACCCGTAAAAAGAAAGTTAATTAAAAAAATTAGAAATAAATTAGAAGAAAAAAAAAGTGATTAAAGCTTTAATACGTGCGTGCGTGACTGAACAATGATGAAGCACAGTTCGAGTCCGTGTGGTGGGTTTTGGTGTTGGGGCCCTTCCCGGTTGTTTTATCATTACCGTTCCGGGTTCGGGTTTTGGGTTTTCTTTATCTTTCGGGTGCAAGCTGTTCAAACTCGAACCAACTCGGGCATTTTATTTTGTCCGGAGAATTTGGGATGCGATGCACCAGCGCTACATCTCATGCTAATCACGCTAAAAAAATAATACTTTGCCATGGAACCATATTTTGTTCAAAATGAAAACAAAATAAATAATCACATATATAGTACCCAAAAAAAATTAAAATATTTTGTTAGTAGTATATGAAAAATTTTTATAAATAAAAAAATAAATATTTGATAAATTTAAATTTTTTATCACATGTGATAATTATTTCATATCATACACATTAGCAAAAAAATTTCGAATGTTACATCAATTTTAGATTAAAATATAATATATGAGTTTTAAGTAAGTTTATCTTAATTATTGATGTAATATCAACTTAAATATTGCCATGGTCCATATATTATGTGTGGTCCATGAAAATAAATTGTAAAGTGATATTTTGATTGTTGTATAAATTCACGAAATTGTGTTTCAACAACATTGGCTAGTGGCTACTTAATCTCATTATCAGTGTCATTATGTTGAAACTTTTACAACTTTTTTTTTATTTTCAAATACAATAATGAGTATTCATTATCAAATAAAGCCTCGAGCCATAGACATAAGGTTAGTTGTTGTGCATTGACAAATTGACATAGTCTCCCAAGTTTTTTTTTTTTTTTTTTTGTATTCAAACTAAATGGCCTATTAGCCTATCCACCAAGGAAAAAAATGGATGATTCTGTGTAACGCACCATCACATGATTTTCACTCTCTCTCCCTCTCTTTCTCTATATGTATATAGGATTGGATTTGCTCCATTATTCACTTTCTAGTGGACCTTCTATTTAACATGGTAAAATCCAGCAGATCATTAATAATAAAAAAAAATCATAATTTTGAGGTAAAAAAATTTAAATTTAAAAGAAATCATTATGCTATTTTTAAAATAAAATTATAAATATTATAAATTATAATCATAATTAAATATTATATTTATATAATCAATTGAATAATCAACTATAAAATCATCATAATTAAATTAAAATCACTTAATAATTAACTAACAAACCAAAACACACATATATATATTGATATTTAAACTTAAAAAAAGAAATAAAAAAGGATTAAAAAATTATCACTAATTTAAATAACTAGATGTAATCTTAACTAATTTATTTTTTCTTATAATCATGGTTCTCTTTTCTTCTTTTTTTTTGTTTATGGGTTAATAAACTTGAATAAAATTATATTCTTTTGGTCCATTAAATAGGGAATAATGATGTGTTTTTTACATTTCTAGGTAACCGTCGCCAAAAATAATTGATTAACAATGTTATATGATTAACAAATAAAATATGTTTTTTGAAATAAAAAGGGACCAAAAGTATCTTTTGGAAAGCTTTAAGGGGAGGTTGGATTTTACCCTATTTTACATGTATATGGGGCAATTGATTTTCTCATTTAACCTAGCTAATAAAAAATATTGACTGCCCAATGCTTGAAAATCTCCTATTCAAATGGTTAATTTGTTAAGAAAGCTCTAGAGTGAATTTGTTTTTTGTCTTGCTATTGCTAACCGTTTTCATTATATGGCTTAGAAATTTGTTTTTTTTTTTTTTCTCTCAATAACCAAACTTAAACAATTTTCCATGTTTTCTGCCACTAAAACTTGTTCAATCAAAGCCGACGAAATTGTCATTACCAAAGAAAGTGGGGTGATTAGTGATTACCACCGTTTTATATGCCAGGAAAATGTTACACGAAAGAGCTAAACATGAACTGACATTAGGATCTTTTTCATTTGTTTTTCGTTTTCTTTTCTATTTAACTTTTCCCAAACAAAGGAAATTTCATTTTGGAGTGGCCACATATATATATATATATATATGTATATTAAATGAAAGATATGGCAATTGGATTAGTAGTAGGAGGGAGAAAAACATAAAAAAAAAAATTTAAAAGTATAATATTTTATTAAATTTAATTTTTTATTTGATTTAGATTAAATTTAAATATTAAATATTTATATTAAGTTCGGATCAAGATGTAAAAAATTTTAAAAATCAAATCCAACCAATATTTTTTATTAGTTTTTAGTTTTTATTTTTTAATTTTTTATTTGATTTATATTAAATTTAAATATTAAATATTTATATTAAGTTCGGATCAGGATGTAAAAATTTAAAAATCAAATCCAACCAATATATTTTTATTAGTTTTTATTTTTTAATTTTTTATAAAATAAAAGTAATTGTTTTATATATAAATTTATTTAAATATACTAAAATTTTTTATTAAAAAATATAAAAAAAGTAATTTTTTAAAAAGTTAATAAACCGAATTGAATTAATAAAATTTAATTAGAATTAAATTAATTTTTAAAAAAATTAATTTTTTTTTGAATTAAATTTTAAAATTTATGATATCATACATTATCAAAAAATTTAAATCGAATTTAGTTGTGGATTCTCAAAAAAAAAAAAAATCCATGCTTAGAAAAGCTAAAAACAATACTTTAAAGGGTTATACAATTGGAAGTTTGCTTAATTTCTTGATGGAAAATTGAGTAAGGGAGAAAGATTAATTATTTTATAAATATATAATATATTTTTAAAATTTTTTAAAATATTAGAATACTAATATTTAGATAAAAAAATAATTAAATGGGTGTACTAAAGTTGAGCTCAAATTTAGTTTCTTTTTTGAAATGGAGGCCTAATAATTTTTATTGTAAGTTTTGAATATTTTTTTTTTGGTCTCCTCTTTAATTTACAGTCTAATTAAGGTCAAAATTATCCGCTTATAACAGTAAAGTAATTATCATTTTAACTTTGATACTATTGCACAAATGAGATTAATAATTCCTCCTTCCCACCTATGAATCATGAGATGGGTCGTACCCCTTGTGAATAACACCGGTTCTTTTGGATTTTTGGTATAAGTTGCATTATTAGTAACTGGACCAATCAAGTTGCTTCAACACTTGGTTATAATTGAAGTTAGTTCAATCAAGAAAGTGCTAGTCATTATCAAAAGAGACCCTTTTTTTTTTTTTTGGGTTCCGCCATAAACAAACCAAATTACTTTGTTTGGTTCTTTTTTTTTTTTTTTTCTTGTTTATGGCATGAGGGAAATTTGTGCTCTTTATCATGTCGAAAGCATTGAAAATAGTACTGTGGATATTTGATTTAATAATAAATATATGTATTTTTATTTATTTTTACTTTTTTAAATTTTATTTACTTAATTCACGTATAAATATATTTTGCGCCTTGATTAGAAATAAATTGAAGTTTTAAACTTAGATATATTATACTAATTAAGCAGCTAACAGTGAAATAAAGCCTTGGTTAGTCAAGACATGAACCGAACTCAACAGAGCTCTCTGGCCACAAAGTTTGAATTCTTTGGTGACCAAAACAAAATGCAAAAAAAAAAAAAAAAATTATGGCTATTAAATGTTAATTCTATCAGTCGACACAGAAAAATTATTAAAAGAGTCTGGAAATGAAAAGGTCAAAGTAGTCATTTCCTATCCCATAATAAAATGTCGAAAATTTAAAAAAATTCATGTTTTTAACCTCGAGAAATTAAAAAAATGGTAAGACTTTGAAGAGTAAAAATAAAAAAATAAAGGCAAGAAAATCTTGACATCCGACACCAAAATCTTTAGTACAGTAAGGAGCAGCAGACTTTTAAGAGGAAAGAAAAAGTCTCCCACGCCCACGCGACGCACGAACCTTTCACTTGACACGCCGTTGCATCTTTTCCCAACATATCCACGCTCCTTCGCTTGCGTACCTACTATCAACTCACCTCCATGCCGCACGATTGGTCACCTGGACACGTGGAAGAATCATGGAGGTGAGTCTCAAAATACAGCTAAAAATATAAAACTAGAGAAATAAAATATTTAATAAATAATTTTTTCTGTATCAATAATAATAATTTAAAAATAAATAACAAAACATCAATCAAGTAAAATTTTAATTAATTTATTTGGTGTCACTAATTTTAAGACACGGTTTTGATTTGTTGGGTCAAAGTATTATTAAATGGCCTACCATGCACGCGAGGGGTTAGGGTGACATGCGGGTGTACGGAGAGAATTAGGAGGCGTGGGTTTGGAGTGGAGTTACGGATGACTAACACGTGAAGTTTGATTGGGTCTTTTGTGGACCGCCAAAATCAGCAGCTTCCGCGAACGCGCAGCCGCCAGTGGCGTGCTTTCTGGTTTTTCTTAACTGTAAGTTTTTTCTTTATTTAAACTAGTGTTTATTAGGGATGTTCATTCTAAAAATTATAATCATATATAGTAATTAGGTCATTAAATTTGTTAAATATTTGTAGATTTTATTCGATGATGATTTTGATCATTAAAAATGATTAGATCATTGTCATGATTTAATTCTTATTTAAAAGTATAAAAAATTTTATCATTAAAATAAAATGATATATAAAATTAATAATAATCAATATTAATTATTTAATATGTTATTTATAAAATTGATTTCTCTTAAATTATAATTATTTTATATTATAAATTATATATTTTTAAATTAATATTTATTATAATAAGTTTGAAAATAATGTATGTATTTTTTAATTTTTTTGATATTTTATGTATAATATAATGTCTTTGTTTTTTATTATGATTTTAATAAATTAATTTTATTTTTTAATTCAAATATTTTTTACATAAGTTATATTATAAAAATCAGTTTACTTAATAAATAAATAAATAAATAATA